AAACGTAACTTCTGCATGTCTATATTTATGGCCAATTGTCTCTATGATACATTACATTGTCTTTTCTTTTGTCATGGTTATGCCTTTTGAAATGGTTATGCCAGGATCCAGAGATGTGTATTGTTTATGTCAAGTAACACTGCAGTAATAATGAAATGGTCATGTGACTGTACATATATCACATGTGTTTTTCTATAATTATCTTATCCCCACGTTAGTCCGTAGCATGTACTATAGACCTATATATCCTCTCCCAAAAAAGAAACGCATATAGGAATTTCAACTGTATTTTTATATTTATTTTGAAACATCTTGTAGGCTTTATGAGTCAATGAAATATAGCGAAATTGCACACTGGGAAAGCAGACTTGCCTTTGGCACCAACTCGAGGAAAGTCAGTTTGCGTGTCACATGGAGACGTGTGGTGGCGCTGAAGTCAATACCTCGTGTGACCACCGTGGGCATCCAGAACTGCACGGCATCGCCTCGGCATCGAACGAATAAGTCTCAGAATCTCGTGTTGCCCAATCGCAGCCCACTCTGCCTGTAGTGCCTGTGCGAGTTGCTGAAGTGTCTGGGGCTGAGGGTTACGGCGTCGCACCCGTCTGTCCAGGGCATCCCACAGATGTTCGATCGGGACTAAGTCCGGTGATCTTGAGGGCCAGGGGAGCACATTGATGTTGTGGTTCTGGAGGAAGTCTCTAGTGTGACGTGCTGTGTGGGGCCTGGCATTGTCCTGTTGAAACAACTCCCTCTGGCGATCAATGATTTGAAGGAGGTGTGGGAGTAGGATTTCGTCACAGTAGAGCTGTCAGGTTGCCCTGGATCATCACCAAATCACTTCTCCTACAGCAGGTGATCTCTCCCCACATCATAACACTTCCCCGGCAGAATCTGTCCACCTAGGGAACGCAAGCGTCGGCGAAACATTCACGTCGACGTCTGTACACCCGCATTCTTCCATCGCGTCGTTCCAATAGAAATCGTGATTCATCACTGAACCATATTCTACACCAATTCGGTAGGTTCCAGGCCTGAACGTTGGTGCACTATATGAACTCGATGTCGACGATGTTGTTGTCGAAGCACAGGGTCAAAATAAGGTCTTCTGGCACGTAAACCAGCCTCTCGCAACCTGTACCTGACGGTCTGTGCAGAAAGCCTCCTCAATCCGGGTATTTGTCGAGCGGTACTGGTCGCCGTAGCTGTTCGATCACGCAGGTGATGTACCCGGATATAGCGATCCTGCGCCGCAGTGGTCGCTCGAGGTCGCCCACTACAAGGGGCATCTGCTACCGCATTCTGCCGGCGATACCTCTCCCAGAGCCGTGAAATGGTGCTTTGGTGAACATTTATGCGTCGGGCAACTGCACGTTGAGACTGGCCAACTTCAAGCAAACCAATGGCGATATGACGGTTGGCTTCACTTAGACGTGGCATTTTGCGTTCGTCAACAATATTCCAAATACAGTGAATAATCGACAGACAGCGATCAACCTTTTATACCCATCATTGAAACTATCTGTACTTTACGGATGGTGCGTTTTGTTTTGATGTTTCAAAATATAAACACCATAGGACTCATAAACAGAGCAAACACTTTTGTAAAATGAATCACGTTTTAATTTATTGCTACATGAAATTGCTATTTTCATGATGCGTTTCTTTTTGGGGACAGTATATATTATCAACAACATTGATTGATTTACAGAGTGCTTCAAGGACAGCATCTGTGTATATGATCACATTCTGAATCCTTGGAGCCGGACACTGCACCCTGACATCGCTGTACACGTGGGTGGTTGTCAGTTAGAGTTAGATGAAGGCTATCAGGAAATAACGTGCAAGGTTGCTACCAGTCACTAGTTTCAGTACGTAGCCTCAATGAGTCATTTGCTCAGGCTCATACGAGCAAGTTGTCAGGCACATCAGCAAATACTTGTCAAGGATTGTCATGTATTATCATCAGGAAAATATTATGCTGATATGGAAAGAAATCTCATAGTTCAATATGACCATTTATTTCTATAGTCATAAGAAATCCATAGTATGCTTCCGGCTATGTGATCCTACAAGGTGGTGACGTAAAGGTGAGGCAGGTCAGTTATTCACATAAAACACGGAAACATATCGTACAACAAAGTCAACATATGTTTGTCAGTGATGCGTACAATTGTGAAATTTACACATGTCTGGCATAAATCCATTTGAAATCATCCCACCTGGCATAGAGTTTGGTGCACACGCCCCCTCATTTTGAATTTCTAGGTATATATCCTGATAGGAAGCCGACTATATGGTTTCTCGGTTGATTTCCAACTCCAGATCTGGAGGTTAGATTAACCAATATTCTTCTTGGCACTGTATCAGTAAATTACTCAAAGAGTCAAAAATTCTATTCGTGTGCAACGAAAAACAATTCTGGGGTGAGAAGGGCAGAGTTAGTACTCCATGCAATACCTACTAGTAAATGTTGTATCCCAAACTGTAACAATGATCTTTGTCAATCTTGTCAAAGTACAGTCACTTTCTGTTTTAATACATCGAAAACACCCTATAAAATTGCGACAGAATTATATTCTCTTGCTTCATTTCGTCCCAATACATCGTTTTAGCCGATGTTATCTTACATTCCCTGCATAATCATAATCGCCTGTTATGCCCAATGGAATCTGCTGCTGTGGATAATTGAGAGTAATTGATTTTCTGGAGTTGACGTTTTATGTTTCACTTTTAAAATGTCAGATTTTCTCAAATCTGAAGCTTGGGGCGATTTATTATGTTTATTTAGGTTATAAAATACGAATCCAGGTTTTTGAGTATTGAAAGTGTTTATTTGTACACAAACTATACACAATTGTGAACGAAGAGCCAGGCATCCTATTAATGCATGTTGGTCGGGGCATGTACCGTAGTTTCCGATGTAGGTAGTTTCCGATGTAGGTAGTTTCTGATGTAGGTAGTTCCTGATGGGACGAGGAGGGTATCCTTGCGGTTGAAGTGTTAAATAATATGCGAGACCCATTCCTGCTGCCCCCTAACTTCATGCTAAACATGATGCTAAAACATAACCCCAAAATAACCCAAGTAAAGCCCTTTCTATTTAAAATGTCGCTTCATTTTTTTCACCTTCTCCACTTTGATAGAGATTCATTGAACAACGATTGATGAAATAATCATGGCATATCATCGCTCGTTGATCCAGACTCTGCGTCTGTGAGAAGGTCACCTCTTTCCTCCTCTGTAACTACAGCGAGGTGGGACGTGTGGGCGAGTGTCATGTATATATCTACCACCAGCATCCAGTGCGTTCGTTCACAAGCAGTATCTAACGGTTGAAGAGAGGTCACTATAGAATCAGTCACCGCCCTGATGTGCATTACGAGGAGCAATGCCCATTTTGTTTAACTTATATATATTGTCGTATATCATGTATGATCAGTACACAGGGATAACCTTCTGTCAGCCCCTATATTCCACGTGAAGCATCCATCCAGCCGATGCTTGTCTTCCTCTGACTATTTGCGGTGATGTTATATCGTTGTTGCTGTACGTTTAAGACTAAACTTCTATTCTTCATCACCATATTTTCTGTAGCAAATGTATAGTTTTACGGAGGCATAGCCATGTATTATTGCTCTCACAACAGTTATTTTATTCATACTAAATGTTGTAATATTAGCGTGTACTTTGCGCAGATTGTCAGGTGTATTTGTTGGTGAACAGCAAGAGCAACATAGGCGTGTAGGGTTTGAGAACATTATTGGGATAGAACTGTACTGCAATTATACCCCAACAATGTATATTAAAGTATCTGTATCATCATGGTTTTCAGTCCAGTTAATATTTCCAAGAAACAGTTATAGATATGGCCACATCTTGATGCCGGGATCATTTCAAAATACATATAATATCAACGTGAATTTCACGACAAAGCATGTTTGATCCATTAAGTTGATTACAGTTATACAACATACACTAGTGACGCTGTTAGAGTTCTGGTTTCTTGGTTGGTTTGTTGTTAAAACGCCGCACTCAAGCAGTATTCCAACTACATGGCTGCGGTCTTTAAATAATTGAGTCTGGACCAGACAATCCAGTGATCAGCTTGAGTTACGGATGCAAGACAAATTTTAAGGAAAACAACTTCTTTATTTGTTTTACCTCGACGTTTCTGGGCTAGTTATTGTCTTTTCTTCATGTGAATCTGTCGTTTGGGACAATTGTGTGTTTCATGATGGTTACATCAGTCCAGCGACACATGAACAGATTCACCTCTGTGACACAGGACGCCCTGGTGAGTATAGAATTAGCTGGAGTGCTCGACGAACGTATATCTAATAAAATGCCATATATTTTTCATGTGACACCTGACATGTAGACTTAGTGTCTCAATGTTGTAAAATATGCTCACGAAATTAAACTTTCCGTTATAGATGACACCAAAACTGGTTGCAGACAGGTGGTTCATTCTGAGGTGCCATGGTAACCGTGTCCTAGCTACATATATTTTACGAACGTTTCTTTAGATTTCCGTATCGCATTTTCATGAATGAAGAAATAAACAAATCCTTTATGTAGTTGACTCAACGGTTTATAAAACAGATACAACACTGCTCCTTGGTTTTGGTTGATGCAGTGAGACCTGATAGAGGCGGTGACCACACCTTTCACACATACAAACATACCAGAGACCAATAGGTGCATGTCCTTATGCCAAGGATATTAGTGAAGGGTGAATGTACAGTTTCAATAATAATGTGATGTGTCACTACAACACTGGGCACATTAAAGACCAGGCATACCAAAGATTTCAAGTACAAATAGCCTGAAATATTTTACTTGGGCAAGGAGATGGACAATACATGTTTGCAATGACGAGTTGTACTGAAGCAATACCCTGGGTGGTCACAAACGCCCTCGTCGGTTTGAACAAGCTTGATCTTTTCGAGACCTTAGTAGTTCAAATTGAAATCTGTCATATGTCATTCACAAATGACCCAGGTATCATCGTTTTGAATGTTTGGCGTAACGGCAACATCTGAGCATTGTGGGAAGGGAATAATGTCGCCAGCATCATTGGAGAAATCACCCTGTTTCGGTTTGCTGATCTCAGCATCTGCAAATACAAAACGAAACCGTAAAGAATGTGCCTGCGTGTGTATATGTATACAATTTTCATTCGGATGAATGCTGATGCAAGTAATTAAATTGAATTTAGACAAAAGAATGACCAAAAGGACATAGTCATCCAGAATCAGCTAAGCAAGCTTGTCACCATAGTGACGTTCAGCCAACCAGACATATTAACCCAGCATCAACTGGCCTGGTTCTTATTGCCGTTGGCTACATCTGATCACATTGTAAATATGCATTGTGTACTCACAGTATAAAAGCCAATATTTACCTGCACAAATGTTCCAAAGCTTGTTCAGTTTCACTGATTTGAGATGAGGATAACTCTGGAGCCGTACCACGTGATCTTGGAGCAGTTCTGATGCTGATCCTGTCACCATGTACTCAGAGACATCGCCTACGGCAACGACATAAACCTCCACGTCTTCTTTCTTCAGTTTCCTTGCCTGACGCACCACCGAGTCACCACTTCGCGTGTTCTCATCCAAGAACAATACTGCAACCTGGCGGCGTACGGATGATGTTTTTCCGTTGAACCTTTCTATCCTCAGGGTGTTGATGAGACGATGCATCTCTCCCTCTGTGTTCTGTACAATGGTGTTGATTTTCTGCATGAACGCCTCGAGGCTGAAAATGTTCAGGTCCTCCTCGTCAGGACAAGGGTCAGTCAGTGACCCAATACGCACCTGCTCGGCCTTCACCTTTAATTTCTCAGCAAAGTTGGTGATTACTGTTCTCATGATGCTGCGGCTCGATGGAAGTTTAGAAGCGGACTCGAAGACAAACATGATGTCAGTGGGACCAATGACGCAATCTGGAAAAATGACAATTTACATTTAAAAGGATTTTGTCGAGATTACAATTGCCCTCCTTTAATCGGATGAAGGATTACCACTTTCTGATTGGAAACATGCAATAATGTTCACTGAACGTTCGCATCCGCTGTTATATCCTTCTGATGTAGTGATGTGTATGGAAATACAAGTTATTGGTTTAGGTGCGCAATGATACTCACTTTCAGGGTCAAAGATGATAGTATTCGCTCCCTTTAGTCGGCACATCTCTTCCTTCAAAATGGCTGTCATACGATCCAGGGCATCTAAAGTGTTGACATGGAAAACGAACCGTTCCTCTGGATGGCTTCCAATAGCTTTCATCTCTACTGGGTCAAAGCTGGGACCAATAGCAAACATGAAGATTCCAGAATCCTTGGTGAGTTTAGCTTCCTTTGCTGTCAATAAAGGATCGTATGACATGCCATCTGTTACAACAACTGCCATCTTGATGACCCCTTTGCGAGCAACGTTGCGAACAAAGCCGACGTCTCTGATGTAAGCTATGGCGTCAGCTGTGTTGGTTCTTTTTCCACCGGTGTACACAATGCTGTCGGGGGATATAGCCTTCTGAAGTTCATCACGGGTTGCGCAGGTGTCCAGTCCGAAGACAGATGTGACATTTGTGGCGAAGGTGACAAGACCGACACGAGTGTGGGCGGGGCTGATGTCGAAGTCCTTGACGACGTCGTAGACAAAGGGGATGACTTTCCCTTTGAAGTGTTTAATGTAAAGACTAGCGGACACATCCAGCACAAAATATATGTCGGCAGGCTTGCTCTTGCAGTCTGAAATAGGGAGTGGTCTAGGATGAAACGTAATTGAATGACACAGTCCATATTTCAGAATCCAGGCACAAATCGTGACATATCTTACAACAGTGACTCTGCTACAGATTCAGTTTATTTTGCAGGGTTAACTAGAGGTGATTACTGTGTCTATAAGTACAAGATGTTCAGAATACTTACCGTCCATGTCAGAATCAACGTGACTCTCGTCACCAATGAACCTTCCACTTGGTGACTTCTCTGTCGCTGTAGTCCCTGATGGTGTTTTCGGAGGTAGGGTGGACAACGACGTAGGGGATGCTGTAGTCCCTGATGGTGTTTTCGGAGGTAGGGTGGACAACGACGTAGAGGATGCTGTAGTTGGGTGATGGGTAGTGACTTCTGTGGTCGCTTTGATTCTTGGCTGAGTTGTGCTGACTGTTGTTGTGTGACGTGTTTGTATTGCCACTATTGCCGGTCGACAAAAAGACAAGTTACAATACTGAAAGAACTGTGAAACGTTAACGCTAGGGAGTAATCGGTAGCAATAATCTAATGAAACGGATGTCACAGGAAGTAAAATATATAACAGAAATGAAACTTGAATACAGGGATCGTGCGACTCGAAAGCACTGGCCATAATTGTCCATAAAAGGAAATGCCTGATAATATATTCTCCTTTGGTCCCCACGTGTGACTTAATCAACAAAAACATCTCTCAAATAGTCAAAAATGTTAAAAGAAACATTTGACTGTTGACAAAACATATATAAAATCATACCTGCACAGGTACGTCGAGCCAGTATGTCTTTGATACTGTCGAGTGCTCGGAAGCTGCCAACGTGGAACAGACTATCAGGTTCAGAAGCAATATTTCTCAGTTCAGAGTATACAACACGATTCCCGACGCCGATAGCAAAGATCTGGATTCCATCCTTCTGAGCCAGAGATGCAGACACTTTGGTCAGTTCTGTGTTGTCAGATTCACCATCTGTGAGAATAACAGCAATGTCACTTGCACCATCACGTGCACCGTTCTCAGGTGCAAACATCACGTTCCTCACGTAGTCAAGAGCTTCATTAACTTTGGTGTTACCTCCCTTGAATGGTGTGTTGAGGATTTTCTTTGAGAGTGATACTTTGTCCTGGTAGTCCTTCAGGTGGAACTGGTGATGGTATGTGTTTCCGAATGTGATCATCCCAACACGTGTTTGTTTTTCCCCTGGCCCCACGTCAAAAAGGTTGATCACGTTGCTGACAAAGGGAAGTACGCGACTGTGGAAATCTGGCGGCCATATTGAACTTGATGCGTCCACGATGAAAACGATATCAACTCCTTTACCCCTACAATCAGCTTGATCTTAAAAACAAAGAAGAAATTCGAAAGTCGAAACTAGAACAGTGAGTGAGTTTAGTTTTACACTGCACTCAGCAATATTCCAGCCATATAGCGTCGGTCTGTATATAATCGAATCTGCAGCTGGACCAGACAATCCAGTGATCATCAGCATAAGCAACGATCTAAGTAATGATTGTGATACGATGACATGTGTCAACCACGTCAGCAAGCCTGACTCACCCGATCCCGTTAGTCGCCTCTTACGACAAGCATGGCATCTTCACGTGTCGAAACTAGAACAAAATGGCGTTTACACTATTAATCATTAGTCTATGACAAAACCTAAACCTCAAAATGTATACTTACATGGAGAGGACGACACACCGGACATCGTCTGCAACAACAAGGACACATTTAAGAATGTATTGAGAACTGTAACATTCGCATTCTTAAATATCGAAAAAGGCTCGATTGTAGCAACACAAAGTAATCACCAAACTTCTTATTCAGTGTTTGCAATGGAACAAATTGTAACCAAACTTGTTAAGAAATAAACATACGACAGTTGCTTACCAGAATGAAGGCAAAAACAGATTTCGCCAGAAACATCTTGTGGATAGATTGTCTACAGCCACGTTCGCAATAGCTCCTCTCTTGAATATCACACAGGTAGAATCCAGTTATATATAATGCACAACGTGAACGCAAGAGTATATCTATCCCGGAATTTGCGCTTAAACAGATTCAATGGGGTACAAAAGGCAAAACAGCGATGAAATGCCGTGTTTCAGTCATAACGTATCCCACAATTCTATGTATTTTCCACGCGGCTCTGCTCACGTGACCGTTAATCGTATGCAACAGGACGCAGCCAAACTTTGATCCTGGTTTCATAGGTTGAACCAACGGTCTGCCACCTCGCCTCTAACAATACTGTATACGTATAATTAAAGTCACCCAGAGAGACACCTGTGAGCGTAAACATTGCAGAGTGATTATTCGCCTGTCAGTACCAGTCATGGTCGGTATATATAATGATGGTATTGTGGAATTCTACAAATTGAGCTTTATAAAGTATTGAGTAGCGTTTCCATAGCGTCTTTAAACATTCTTCAAGTTAACTAATACAGAATAGGTTGCACATATACAAGTCTTTTATATTGTCTCCAGAATACGTCCAAACATTTTTTTTCGAAATATGACATAGCCTTCCGTTAAGGAGTAATATCCCCTCTCAACTAATGACGGGACTCCCGAATTATGATATATAATGGTATGTAGGTGTCTAACCCCAACCACAAAATGATGGGAACCTCACATCATGATATACTTTTATGAGTTGGGGTCACGTCCTGAAAATGGGAATTTTGTGTTATGAAAGATCATTGTGTGTAGATGCCACACTCTTCACACACAACGATTGGAGTCTCACTATATGATATGTCTTTGTGTGTAGATGCCACACTCTTCCCACACAACGATTGGAGTCTCACTATATGATATGTCTTTGTGTGTAGATGCCACACTCTTCCCACACAACGATTGGAGTCTCACTATATGATATGTCTTTGTGTGTAGATGCCACACTCTTCCCACACAACGATTGGAGTCTCACTATATGATATGTCTTTGTGTGTAGATGCCACAACCCTTCTCACACAACGATTGGAGTCTCACTATATGATATGTCTTTGTGTGTAGATGCCACACCTCTTCTCACACAACGATTGGAGTCTCACTATATGATATGTCTTTGTGTGTAGATGCCACACTCTTTCCACACAACGATTGGAGTCTCACTATATGATATGTCTTTTAACGATTGGAGTCTCACTATATGATGTGTAGATGCCACACTCTTCCCACACAACGATTGGAGTCTCACTATATGATATGTCTTTGTGTGTAGATGCCACACTTTTCCCACACAACGATTGGAGTCTCACTATATGATATGTCTTTGTGTGTAGATGCCACACTCTTCCCACACAACGATTGGAGTCTCACTATATGATATGTCTTTGTGTGTAGATGTCACACCCCTTCTCACACAACGATTGGAGTCTCACTATATGATATGTCTTTGTGTGTAGATGCCACACCCGTTCTCACATAACGATTGGAGTCTCACTATATGATATGTCTTTGTGTGTAGATGCCACACCCCTTCTCACATAACGATTGGAGTCTCACTATATGATATGTCTTTGTGTGTAGATGCCACACCCCTTCTAACACAACGATTGGAGTCTCACTATATGATATGTCTTTGTGTGTAGATGCCACACTCTTCCCACACAACGATTGGAGTCTCACTATATGATATGTCTTTGTGTGTAGATGCCACACCCTCTTCCCACACAACGATTGGAGTCTCACTATATGATATGTCTTTGTGTGTAGATGCCACAACACTTCTCACATAACGATTGGAGTCTCACTATATGATATGTCTTTGTGTGTAGATGCCACACTCTTCCCACACAACGATTGGAGTCTCACTATATGATATGTCTTTGTGTGTAGATGCCACACTCTTCCCACATAACGATTGGAGTCTCACTATATGATATGTCTTTGTGTGTAGATGCCACACTCTTCCCACATAACGATTGGAGTCTCACTATATGATATGTCTTTGTGTGTAGATGCCACAACCCTTCTCACATAACGATTGGAGTCTCACTATATGATATGTCTTTGTGTGTAGATGCCACACCCCTTCTCACACAACGATTGGAGTCTCACTATATGATATGTCTTTGTGTGTAGATGTCACACCCCTTCTCACACAACGATTGGAGTCTCACTATATGATATGTCTTTGTGTGTAGATGTCTTCTCACACAACGATTGAGTCTCACTATATGATATGTCTTTGTGTGTAGATGCCACACTTCCCACACAACGATTGGAGTCTCACTATACTATATGTCTTTGTGTGTAGATGTCACACCCTTTCTAATAACGATTGAGTCCCACACAACGTCTTATATGATATGTCTTTGTGTGTAGATGCCACACCCTTCTCACACAACGATTGGAGTCTCACTATATGATATGTCTTTGTGTGTAGATGTACATAACGATTGGAGTCTCACTATATGATATGTCTTTGTGTGTAGATGCCACACCCCTTCTCACACAACGATTGGAGTCTCACTATATGATATGTCTTTGTGTGTAGATGCCACACCCTTCTCACATAACGATTGGAGTCCCACTATATGATATGTCTTTGTGTGTAGATGCCACACCCGTTCTCACATAACGATTGGAGTCTCACTATATGATATGTCTTTGTGTGTAGATGCCACACCCGTTCTCACATAACGATTGGAGTCTCACTATATGATATGTCTTTGTGTGTAGATGCCACACCCCTTCTCACACAACGATTGGAGTCTCACTATATGATATGTCTTTGTGTGTAGATGCCACACTCTTCTCTCACACACACACTCTTCTCAACACAACGATTGGAGTCTCACTATATGATATGTCTTTGTGTGTAGATGCTCACTATATGATATGTCTTTGTGTGTAGATGCTTCCCACATAACGATTGGAGTCTCACTATATGATATGTCTTTGTGTGTAGATGCCACACCCCTTCCCACATAACGATTGGAGTCTCACTATATGATATGTCTTTGTGTGTAGATGCCACACCTTCTTTGTGTGTAGATGCCACACAACGATTGGAGTCTCACTATATGATCTCATGTCTTTGTGTGTAGATGCCACACTCTTCTCACATAACGATTGGAGTCTCACTATATGATGTCTTTTCTTCCCACACAACGATGTAGATGCCACACCCCTTCTCACACAACGATTGGAGTCTCACTATATGATATGTCTTTGTGTGTAGATGCCACACTCTTCCCACATAACGATTGGAGTCTCACTATATGATATGTCTCACTGTGTGTAGATGCCAGATGCCACACCTCTTCCCACATAACGATTGGAGTCTCACTATATGATATGTCTTTGTGTGTAGATGCCACACCCCTTCTCACAACGATTGGAGTCTCACTATATGATATGTCTTTGTGTGTAGATGCCACACTCTTCTCACACGATTGGAGTCTCACTTCTTTGTGTGTAGATGCCACACTCTTCCCACACAACGATTGGAGTCTCACTATATGATATGTCTTTGTGTGTAGATGCCACACTCTTCCACACATAACGATTGGAGTCTCACTATATGATATGTCTTTGTGTGTAGATGCCACACCCCTTCTCACATAACGATTGGAGTCTCACTATATGATATGTCTTTGATTGGAGTCTCACTATATGATATGTCTTTGTGTGTAGTACATAACGATGGAGTCCACACTTTGTGTGTAGATGCCACCCTTCTCCACAAACGATTGGAGTCTCACTATATGATTGTGTAGATGCTTTGTGTGTAGATGCTCCCTTCTCACATAACGATTGGAGTCTCACTATATGATATGTCTTTGTGTGTAGATGCCACACCTTCTCCCACATAACGATTGGAGTCTCACTATATGATATGTCTTTGTGTGTAGATGCCACACACACCCTTCCCACATAACGATTGGAGTCTCACTATATGATATGTCTTTGTGTGTAGATGCCACACCTTCTTCCCACATAACGATTGGAGTCTCACATATGATATGTCTTTGTGTGTAGATGCCACACTCTTCCCACATAACGATTGGAGTCTCACTATATGATATGTCTTTGTGTGTAGATGCCACATCCCTTCTCACATAACGATTGGAGTCTCACTATATGATATGTCTTTGTGTGTAGATGCCACAACCCTTCTCACATAACGATTGGAGTCTCACTATATGATATGTCTTTGTGTGTAGATGCCACACCCCTTCTCACACAACGATTGGAGTCTCACTATATGATATGTCTTTGTGTGTAGATGCCACACTTCCCATAACGATTGAGTCTCACACATAACGATTGGAGTCTCACTATATGATATGTCTTTGTGTGTAGATGCCACAACCCTTCTCACATAATGATTGGAGTCTCACTATATGATATGTCTTTGTGTGTAGATGCCACACCCCTTCTCACACAACGATTGGAGTCTCACTATATGATATGTCTTTGTGTGTAGATGCCACACCCCTTCTCACACAACGATTGGAGTCTCACTATATGATATGTCTTTGCGTGTAGGTGCCACACTCTTCCCACATAACGATTGGATTCTCACTATATGATATGTCTTTGTGTGTAGATGCCACACCCCTTCTCACATAACGATTGGATTCTCACATTACTATGTTTTCATGTCTAGATGACACACCCCTCCTCACATTATGATTCTCTCACATTATGATGTTTTCATGTGTAGGTGCCACACCCCTTCTCACATTACGATTGGAGTCTCACTATATGATATGTATTTGTGTGTAGATGCCACACCCCTTCTCACATCACGATTGGAGTCTCACTATATGATATGTCTTTGTGTGTAGATGCCACATCCTTGCTCACATTTCGATTGGAGTTTCACTGTATGTGTAGACGCATTATGATGCATCCATGTAAATATTTAATAACAAATATTATGATCACAAACACAGTTCAAATATATATTACATTATTTATTGTATTTGAAAATATGAAAATTATACAAGTCACTCTGTATTAATGTCACAAATATATACTTATGAACGTAAAAATATATATGTCGATTAGATCGACGCTGATTTATCCTTAAGAATATCTGCTTTGAAGCAAAGGCTTGGCCAGTGGATCATCACAACGAAACTGCATAAGTTTCAACTAGATTCACGAGGACGCTTATTGATGATGACATACAGCTGACAACAGGAATGAGCATCGTCCCTGTACCACGTCTTGCTATAGGTATGCTGTTACATAACACTGACATCATCACACCACGTCTTGCTATAGGTATGCTGTTACATAACACTGACATCATCACACCACGTCTTGCTATAGGTATGCTGTTACATAACACTGACATCATCACACACCTAGGCAAGAGGAGGTTTACAATAGAAAAACGTCCAAAGTACATATTGTCTTTTTTGCCAAAACTACAAATGGACAAAACAGTTTTACAAGTGACACTTCTCTTGGAGGCAAATGGACACATGATGTCAGCTGGTTACTTCAAACATAATGTAGCGTACCAGTCAAATATGGAAGTGGGGGCCTCTCTATTAAAAGAATATACGAAATTGAACAAACACTCCAGAAAATACAATGACCTTTAAAATAAGTATGAGTGTCATCGCCGTATAAAGGAACATGTTACGTGTTCATATTGCACGCATTCAGTACATTCAGACTATATCGGCATGATACGACATACCCTGGCTGAATGCTGGACAAGAAGAGCCTGCGTGTTAGAGATCAGAGATATCACAACCTTGGAATGAGATCTTCCACGGGAATGTAACGAGCGCCATCATAGTCAAGGATTCCTTCATCCTTGGATAAATGCATGGAGACCTTACTGATGTGGTTGTTTTGTTTCAGCTTCTGAAATGAAAAAATAAATTTCATAAAATAATAATTTTGACAGTGTTGATTGTTAACGTGATTCTTCATCTGATTAAGTTTGGACTTTCATAATATATTTGTATTGCTGTTGGGAGGGAATATTTACCTGCACAAATGTTCCAAAGCTTGTTCAGTTTCACTGATTTGAGATGAGGATAACTCTGGAGCCGTATCACGTGATCCTTATGGGGTTCAGATGCTGATCCTGTCACTATGTACTCAGAGACATCGCCTACGGCTACGACATAAACCTCTACACCTTCTTTCTTCAGTTTCCTTGCCTGACGCACCACCGAGCCAGCTTTTCGAGTGTTCTCATCCAAGAACAATACTGCAACCTGGCGGCGTACGGATTTTCCCTTGAACTCTTCTGTCCTCAGGGTGTTGATGAGACGATGCATCTCCCCTTCTGTGTTCTGTACAATGGTGTTGACCTTTTGCTTAAAGGTCTCGAGGCTGATAAAGCTCAGGTCCTCTTCGTCAGGACAAGGGTCAGTCAGTGACCCAACACGCACCTGCTCGGCCTTCACCTTCAATTTCTCAGCAAAGTTGGTGATTACTGTTCTCATGATGCTGCGGCTCGATGGAAGTTTAGAAGCGGACTCGAAGACAAACATGATGTCAGTGGGACCAATGACGCAATCTGGAAAAATGACGATTTACATTTAAAAGGATTTTGTCGAGATTACAATTGCCCTACTTTAATCGGATGAGGGATTACCACTTTCTGATTGGAAACATGCAATAATGTTCACTGAATGTTCGCATTCGCTGTTATATCCTTCTGATGTAGTGATGTGTATGGAAGTACAAGTTATTGGTTTAGGAACGATCTGATACTCACTTTCAGGGTCAAAGATGATAGTATTCGCTCCCTTTAGTCGGCATGTCTCCTCCTTCAAAATGGCTGTCACTCCAGCCAGGGCGTCGAAATGGGTGACATGGAAAACAAACTGCTCCTCGGGATGACTGCCAATAACCTTCATCTCTACTGGGTTAATGCTGGGACCAACACCAACAGCAAACATGAAGATTCCAGAATCCTTGGTAAGCTTAGCTTCTTTTGCTGTCAACATAGGATCGAATGACATGCCATCTGTTACAACCACCGCCATCTTGGTGACCCCTTTGCGAGCAACGTTGCGAGCAAAGCCAACATCTCTGACGTAAGCTATGGCGTCAGCTGTGTTGGTTTTAAGACCACCGGTGTACACAATGCTGTCGGGGGATATAGCCTTCTGAAGTTCGTCTTTGGCTTTGTAAGTGTCCAGTCCGAAGACAGATGTTACGTTGGTGGCGAAGGTGACAAGACCGACACGAGTGTGGGCGGGGCTGATGTCGAAGTCCTTGACGGCGTCGTAGACAAAGGGGATGACTTTTTCTTTGAAGTGTTTGATGTACAGACTAGCGGACACATCCAGAATAAAGTATATGTCGGCAGGTTTGCTCTTGCAGTCTGAAATAGGGAGGGATAACCTTTCTATAATTCCAACTATATTGTCATAAACTATTCCACCGTGCGGGTTCTTGTCAGGCTTTAGAGGTTACTACTGTATCAGTCCTCTGTTATTAAAATGTCAAGTCTGTATATTACCATGTACTTGATGGAATATGTCATTCTAACTGCCAATTCGATAAATGACAAAAAGAAACCCTTATATTTACCATCAGTTTCGGTGTCAGTGTCTGGGCGACCCTCGTCGCCGATCAGTCGTTCTGTTGTTGACTTTGGTGGTGCTGCCGTTGTAGCTGCGCCAATCTTGGCTGGTGTCCGTTGAGGGAAAGTGGATGGTGATGTTCTGATGGTTGTTGTGGTGGTGCTTGTAGTTGTCTCAGTAGTTGTTGGCGCAGTACTGGTTGTTGATGGCGTCGTCGTCGTCGTTGTTGTTGTTGTTGTTGTTGTTGTTGTTGAGGGCGTCGTTGTGGTAGTTGTGGTGGTAGTAGTGGTTGGTGTTGTCAGGCGCTCTGTCGTAGGAGCTTTAGTCGTTGCTATAGACAGAAAAGGTTGTTATAATTTCCATACATAACGCTTAAAACTATGTTCAGTGATTTCAAAAATTATAATAAGCGATATTAAAAGCATGTTCAGCACAGAGACCATGTACATCAATGTACATTTTATCAAGCACAGTCTGAATAGGTCACATACCTGCACATGTACGGATTGCAAGCATATTTTTGATACTGTCGAGAGCTCGGAAGTTTCCAACGTGGAACATATACTGACTGTCAGGATCTGAAGCAATATTCCTCAGTTCAGAGTATACAACACGATGCCCAACGCCGATAGCAAAGGTCTGGATTCCATCCTTCTTAGCCAGAGATGCAGCCACTTTGGTCAGTTCTGTGTTGTCAGATTCACCATCTGTGATAACAACAGCTATGTGGGCGACTCCGTCACGTGCACCGTTCTCAGGTGCAAACATGACAGTCCTCATGTAGTCTAGAGCTGCATCCGTCTTGGTGTTACCTCCCCTGAATGGTGTGTTGAGGATTGTCTTTGTGAGTGATTCCTTGTCCTGGTAGTCCTTCAGATGGAACTGGTGATGGTATGTGTTCCCGAATGTGATCATCCCAACACGTGTTTGTTTTTCACCTGGCCCAACGTCAAACATGCCGACAACGTCGCTGACGAAAGGGAGCACGTGTCTGTTGAAATCTGGCGGCCATATTGATCTGGATGTGTCCACGACGAACACGATGTCAGCTGCTTTGCCGCCGCAGTCAATCACAGCTGAAAAAAGGAAAGAAAACCATGTAGGTTTACAACTATATCAAAAGTGTATTTGAAATATGATTTTGATACAGGAGGTTATTATCAAAATTGCACGAGGGACACTATATGATAACTCACTCATAAATATGAATCTACGCAGTATGGAGTTAGGCTTCGTTGTCTACAAACCTAGTAAACATTCTCATTGAACTCTTTTATATCAACATCAGAATAATGCAAATAAAATTCTAAAAAATGTGGACATTTATTTTTCCGGAAATGGAAATGATGAAAGGCTACACGCAAGAAGGGTCGCTCCATATGATCAGGTGTAGGAATACTTGTGCAATATGTATATACTTACATGGTCTTGAAGATACAAATGACAGCATCTGAAGGGTAAAATAAGGTACTATTATTTGCGATATGTTAATGCCTCGTCATTATATACACAATATCACATACTAACTCATTCTAATATTTTGCATCGATGAGACAAAATAATCATTGTCGTAAAATTTATGTTACAATATCTATTTTCAGCTTTGTTACTAGAATCAGTGTTACATAAGAAATATTAGTTAATAGATAATGTTTGGAAAAGCCTTACCAGAGTTGCCATAGCAAGTTCGGCGAGAAACATCTTGGTTGTGATTCTGTCACGTTCACGCTGGTTCCTTAGTGACGGATGGTCAGAGGAAGATTCCTGCAGAGTAGCAGCCTCTGGTTGTCTTTATAGTCTTTCTCCTCCTACACTGACGCCATCTCCATCGTAAAAGCACCCCGCTGTTGCCATGTGACAGGATGCGGCCAACCTCAAAACCCCGGCGCTTTGCCCATATATGGAACCTATTTACATGATTCATCAGCCGCCTCCATCCTGCTGACGAATGGTCGACCGGCATCGTGTACCACGTGATGCAAGGTTCCCACGGCAGGAAGATTCAAGAAAGTTATGAATGAATCCACGCCGCAACCGACGTGTCGGGGAAGGAAACGCTAGAATGTCACTACGTATTGAATGAATTTAGTCGGCCTTACGGCCAGGCCCCAAACATGACCACAGTGTCAAGTAGACTGACAGGTCCGGCTTTGTCTCAACAACATTCAGGAGATGACTACATTTCCGAGCTTTGAATTATTTCAAACGTAATTAATTTCATAACGAAGGAATCTCATGGGAAAGTCTTGGTGAAACTATTTCAGTGGTGTGCTAATAGACAAAGGTTCACACAAGATTTTCAAAAAGCTCTATTTTGGTTGATATTGATAACCCAATTACACAGGCTGTGTGAACTGTAGACCGCGGTTACATAACACAACCAGGGGAAAAGAAGGTTCGAAGAATATGGCATATTCATTAGCCATTTGGTGAGCATAGAATTGTTTGCTGTTGTGAAGTAAAAGAGCAGCTGCAGCAGGTGTTTGACGAACTATGAGGCAGTATGGCCCAGTTTGGAGAAGCGTGTAGAGTCAGTTAACGGGATTTCTTTAAAATACCCTGATGCAGAAAGTTATAAATAGATACAGGCGAGGGCTAGGCGCATTCTTCATGTATCACACACTCCACTGGACGTAGGGGCATTACAACACAGCATTGCAACTTCATGACGGTGGGGAAGTGTGCATGTGTTTGATATTACCATGAGATATAAAAGGTTCTTGCTGCATGTATCAGGTAATTTCTCATCGTGTACGCCAGAATTACAAACAGGTGACTCGTGAGCAGAGAACAACTCGGCAGTTATGCTCATACAGCACTGTTTGAGATAAAGTTCACATTCGATGTCATTATATGGACAAAATGAGAGTGTGGGACTAGTGGGGAGATTTTTCAATAAACTGCCGAGCAAAAGTTTCAAAAATTGGATTTAACCAAAGACTGACGGAAATGTTACCCGGATTACCACTATCGTGGACACACAGTAATGATTTTTTCCTCCACTACATCACCATAGGTGAAACAGGTCTTGTTTGTAGCATTTACAGCCTCCATCACATGGCGGCGCATACCTAGAATTCAGTGGCTGGATTTTTATTTGGCGATCTACTGATGTTCCTTCTTTTCGTCCGCTTTGAAACCCCCTTGATCTTCTGTCTATTCCCGATATACCACGACTTGTTAGAGCAGTATACATACATGTGGACACATTTCATCCCAATTATAAAGCCAACCCCGTTATAGCGCCATATTTTTCAAAGTTCAAGGATTGTACTCGCTCGACAAGATAGAACTAAACGGTCGAACCTAAAGGTTCTTTTCAAAATGAAAACAGAACCCCTCTCTCAAGTGATCGCACCAAGAATTATTTTATTTGTCGAGGGCAAAACAAATGAAAGGAGCAGTGGCATTTTACATCATCGGTCAAGGTGTCCATTCCTTCCCATAATTACTCAACTTGAAGTTTGGATCATGACTCAATACATACTTTACTCATTGTGCATGCTCTTTAGTACATGCTGGTGAGATGTGGAGGCGGAATATCTGTAGAGACACATACAAATATCTCCAGACATCAGTCACCAGTAACAAACATATGTGAAATGCATCTTGCTGGATGTTCTGAACGTGTATTATATCTGATAAGGACGTACAGAAATGTGAACAAACGTACAATATAGAAATTAGGGCAAAATCTGAGGGCGGTCCGTCTGCCTTAAGATACGCATGTATTGAACATGCGTACAGCGTAGGGGAACGCTCTGACTAACACCACCAGCCATCTGTAGGAAGGAAGTTATTGAAATTTGAACCTTACCATGATCCACATTGGAAATACTCCATGTTCAACGTACAATCTGGAATCCGTAGTTAACCGCCATCCATGTGCACGCTTTAGAATAACATATGCTGCCCCAACATGTTGGATTGAAGAAACACCCCATCTGGGTATTAGAAAGTTCTCATATTCGTTTTACTGATGTGTTGATAAACTCCTACATTAATATTTGTTCATTTGTTCAACCTCAAGATCTGGAAATCATTGACTAATATTCTCACAAAAGGGTACAAAAGTAATATGATCAGTGTTTCGACCTGAGGAAGATTGAAGGTAGCCGAGTTGTATTGCACCGTAATTCGCTGTGCAATGTTGCGTCCTTTAGACACGCCAGAAACCTTTGATCGTACGTTTCTAGGTTTGTCAACACAATACCTGATTCCGAAACATGATGATGTCTGGGCCCTGCGTCACTTCGGGCTGGCCTTCCTTGTTACTGGTCAACTTCTGAGATGCCTATCAGATTAATGCCTGTCATGTTCATTGACTCTCACTCCAGTCATCCATATGTATTGCCAAGGGTATATATATTATGTAGAACACTTCTGTTTTGTCACCGTATGATGTATTATGTACATTATGTGTATTATGTGGTGGCGCGTGGTCCTGTGCTCAAAGCTCAGGTCACAAATCGGTGAAGTTAAGCACCGTCGAGCCCGGAGAGTCCTTGGATGGGTGACCGTGCTTGGCAGCTTGGCTCCTGAGAGTTTCTAGGACTTGAGTCCTGCCCCACAGCGTGACACATGTGGTCTCACCTTAGGCAAGCGAGTTTGTTCAACATTGTCTCTGTTCACCCAGCAGGAAAATGGGTACCCGGGGTAATAATATGTGTGCTGTAGCGCCTTGAGCGAGCATTGAATGCACAGATATAGGCGCGGTTACAAATACCCACTATTATTATTATTATGTACATCGAACAAACATGTCATTGTGACACTTCATCACTATACCTGAAGTAGTTCCTACTTGTGAACACTCCGAGATATTCCTCATACTAGTCAGTGTGTTCCGGTGTCCTGTATTTCGTGTAAACAAAAGAATCATATCACGCTGAGGACACAGTCACGCATCAAAGTAAGCCCCCATCAACATATATGAACTGACTTGTCTCTGACAGAATCCTGCTAGCTTCCTGGCCAAAGACGACCCGGGTTCGATCCCTTACAACTGTGCAAGACATGACCCCTATTATGCTGAAATATGCTTACATATAATTCGCTGAGTGTGTTTCATATAGCCACTGCCAATCTCCTGGTATATTATCGGCGACGGGGAACAAACTGCACGTACTTTTCTATGTGCATCTGTACATATCTGGGTACAACATACGACATCTTCAACATGCACTTCCTGATACATACTGCAGCCACAAGGGCGGCTTCAGCACCACCTGGGCCGTCCCTCAGCTTACGCGTAGTGTGATAGAAACAAAGAACATTATCTAAATTGAAAAGTAGCCCCGATGGGGTGGTAGATTCCTGACGTCTTGCCTCAGTTAGGGAGTGAGAGTAGTTAGAGTAGGAGCTGCGTGGAAGGGAAATATTATGGTTCAGGGCTAGAGAGACAGACAGACTATTCTTCAGTGATGTGATGTGTATTTAACTATCTTAACAGTAAACACACACTAAACAACCAGACGTGCCCTGACACCATGATGCCACAGTGTAGATCAAATACGCAGGTTGCGTCAAGTTAATTCTCCTGCAATATGTCTACCCTAATGGGATCTGTTATCAGCATTACGGTGGTGGCAGGTGGTCCTGCGTGGAGCCCAGATTACACAGACAGATCGTAGTGTAGGCGGATGGTGGACACGTTCGCCAGCCTGGCTCCCTACAGCCCCACACGGAAGCGCTTGCTGCCTGTTGTGTCGTCAGGTGGCTTTGTGATGGAACCGTCTCATTGTAACACCTCACAAGCAGCTTGGGTTGTATACTTCCCGTGGGGCTGAAAATAAAGTTCGAGTGCTGGCCGACCCATTGACCGGGATAATAAAAATATGGTCTCGTAAACATTGATGCATGGATTCTGGCGTTTATGAATGACATTTTGATTGAGATGAGTTGAGAAGGGAACATTGTGCTGTGCGAAGAATTCCTACTGATAATTATTATTATTATTATTATTATTATTATTATTATTATTATTATTATTATTATTGCATGTTATGTAAACACAGTTTAGACAAAACTTAACACAATAATTAAACATTTTGGTGTATAGTTTATACGGAGGTGGTCAGATAGTGGGCGTCATGCGGAAGGTCTGTGTTCCATTCCTTACATGCATACACATTGTGAGGTCCATAATGGAGACCTGAATCGTGGCATCTTGCTAAATAGCAGTCTATATCTCAGACCTAACACAGACACTCACGATTTAGCCGCTAACGTACAGAGACAGCTTTAAAAACGTTCACCCAAACGTAAGGAGTGCGGAAACGATTTGTGTCGATTTGCACGTGCAAGCAGTGTGCGAAATAGCCACTGGTCCGCTAGCCCGTGGCTAGTAAAGATCCAGTCGGGCCAGTAAATCTCCATAGTGAATTTTCATGGGGTCATTTGTTTTGTATGGTATTTTACTTTTTTGTAATCTTTTGCTTAGTTTCTACATTCATATTTCGGGCCAGTGAATTATTTTGTGGGCTAGTAACTTTCAGGCATACCTATCCCGATTGGCTAGCAAAATGTCGCAACTATTTCGCACACTGCGCGCACGTTCGTGTAACCTATGGGTGTTCAGGCCGACCATGAGGGTGAAAGCCGGTGCAGATACTATTTTTGTCTTATTTGTGGTGAAGCGCATCCGTCAATATATTTCGTAGTTTCAGAACAGCCAGACACCCTTGTATCGAAGTTCAAAGGATACATGGATTGACATAAATAATGAATAACACGAAACGTGGAACTACCAAACAACGAAATATTATGAAATAAATAACCAATATCAGTATCAAATAATTCACTGTAAAATTAGGGCAAGCTTGTGCCAATTTAAACACATAGCCCCGTGACTAGTGTTATACTTAGGTATATTTCTTTAATCCACCCAGCTTGAAGGTGTTCCTCACAGTTGAGTCAACACCCACGTCCTGAAGAATATAAACAGTTTAAATTTGAAAATCTATTTAGTTCACATTTAATAAATTCTAGGTCGCGACTGTTAAGTACACACGACCACTCGTACCGATCCAGTCCCTTGCATGCTGGTACCAGTTACGCAGGTCAAAGCAGGGAAACATGTCTGTGATTGTATTTTGTACATTGTAGACGTCCTCCATTAATGCCGCCAGAGTTGATTGGTGATCATGGTGATGCTTGGGTATCAGAAATGGTCGAGATGTTGACTAAGCGTGACTTCCGATAACTGTTGTGATCAAGGTACAACTACGTGGCACTCTAGTGATTATTTCTTCCCAGAACGTTACCAGGCAAGACGTCTCCAGTGATTCCGTGGGCAACTAAAGCAACGAAGCGCTCGTAAAATCTCGCTGCCACATCAAGTCAGTAGCACCCTTCATCATTGTTCACATGTTGTGATGCCTCCCGGTCATGGTGTGTATGTGGGGGATGTGTGTGTGTGTGTTGGAGGGTGTAACCTGTTGTCAAACAGTCAGCCAGATAAAAACACATGTACACAGTGTGTACCCTGTGCTTGTGGTAGTCACCTGACGTCTGTTTTACCCCCTTGGAACTGGCCGCTAGCGGGGAGTGAAACAAGAGCCATCAGAGACTCGTGAGTAAGAAGGGTGTCATGTGACACATCCACCTTGAATGTTCACCAAATTCACACCTTGTTTACAGCCGCCACTGATGTTGCTACCTCCTAGTTGATACAGACATCGTCCACAGGACTTCCCCCTACCTTCATCCCCCTGTCGTCCTGGATACCCAGAAACATCCGGCCGGGTTAGAATATTGATTTTCAGTAACCCAGGCTTGTCGCAAAAGGCGACTAACGGGATCGGGTGGTCAGGCTCGCTGGTTCAGACCACCGTCATACAGCTTGGACTATTGCTGAGTGCGGCGAAAAACTAAACTTACTCACTCACACTCGTCCTTGTTTGTTGTTTTTGTCAGCCTCTGTGTTGAGTCTTTACTGAATGACCACGCTCAACCAGCACTGACCTATAATCTACAAGCAGACACCCTTGCTGATGCTATAGTAATCTCGTCTAATGACACTGTGGATTTGGATCAAGACGCAGACACGTGCACTTTTCACTATTCGCCCCTGTAAGTCTTCAGTAAAGTCACCCCTCATTATATTGCCCCTGGTTATAACGACAACGTGGTTTATTAGAAAGGTTTTCTCAACATTCCCTGGATATAGTGCCACAGTGGTAACATTACCTATACCACATTCATTGAAGGAGACATGCGTGGTGTCTTTTCTCAGTCCAGACTCCCGCAGCCATAACATGGGAGTAGATGTGCAGACACATACTGTAGAGACTATTAACCTCGTGTGTTTCCGTATCATTGATATCAAAGATTAGGAATAAAATTGTATTATGTAGCCTTTGGCTAATCTATGATATTAATGATAAGGAAACACACGAGGTTAATAATCTCTTTATCATGTTATGTTATTACTAAAATTACTCTAAAAAAAAAGAATCCAACCGTACGAGAATGTACATGAAGAGAATCGGGCATTCGCGTAAGAATACATAGCGATCACAAGGTGAAGGTCGTTCATGACGCATTGGAAAATACCCTGTCAATGAAATGTTGACGTTTTAGGATTCGAATGGCGTGTATGGAGTTTTGTGAAAGTAATTCGTGTATTGACCTAATTTGCATATTTATCAGATTTGGATATCAAGTTTATGAGAGTGCTTTATTGCACCGATAACACCATCCCTTATATGATAAACGTGCGTATTTAGCACCTGCAAACAAACGAAAAAGACTGCGTGATTTCTAGAAGCACCAGTGAATGCCAGTATGACAGTGTGCTTCAAAATTCAATTACATATATATGTACTTTTCGAATCACTACACTGATTGTTTTATTAGATATACAGTGTAGTTCATGTTTTCATATATAACGGGCGTTGACTGGCTTCTCTAGTTGTATAACACCCACAGCACCAATGTTGGCGTTATACCCTGTGTAGGCTGTATTAACCTTGATAAGCTGAATGTTCATTGGCAAAACGACAACTTCATGTAACTGTGTGTAACATGACACTGATGTCGCAGGCTATATCACATCTCTGACTGATGTGGAGTCACAACGTTCACGATGATGAAAGATTCGGGACTTATTGTATCGGTGTAACAAAGCAGACGCTGATAGTTTTTGGAAACCTATGCACATACATAAATTAAAAAGGTGGTTGCAAAAAAAAATATCGGGAATGATGTTGTGGTTGTTACATTAGTGAGTGAGTGTAGTTTTACGCCACACTCAGCAATATTCAAGCTATATGGCGGGGTTGTTACCTGAAATAGATTCAGGTAATGTACTACTTTATTGTAGTCTAATAATCTTCACGAAATGCTTTAGTTGTACGCCAGCTTTATAAATAAGCTGAAGAAAGTGGATGCGCACCCATGCTTCCAACAGGGCAATTAACGATAGCTTGTGCTTCAGACTAAAACATTGGACTTTGTAATGTGTCTCCTGCTGTTCACCAGTATCATTACATTTGGCTGGAACAGCTATTGAGTTTATCGCTGCTTTTAACACTACTTCAGATATACCGCGGCTTTAAACTTAGTTTTATATTGAACATATTGCGCGGATTCAGACGAAATGGGACTTACAGCTACACGGAGACAGTCGTAACAACTCGCCTCTTTCCGTGACCTACTAGACGCCATCCGGCTTGCCGGAATGACACGAGTAGTTACGAATCACACAGAAAATGAAGAAAATATAAATTCGTACATCAAACTTTATTGTACAAAAATAATACTCCAATTCAACATGATTTCCATAAAGCAATAGCATGATGCCACATTTTGCAAGTTCACCTCGAGATGACCGTATAGAAGTATGAATAGTATTAGTTAAAGCATAGACTTTTTACTTTCTAAACCACACGATTCCATATTTTAGTATATTATATTTTTTCATTTTCCAAAAACAATTTTGAAATCTTTGTTTCACAGTATTAACTTTGAGAGTCTTTGGGGCAGTTGGTGGACCAGATGGAACTGCCCCGGTTTTTCAGATATGCCCTCTGGTTGTCGGTTGATCAAGGGGCGACAACTCATCCTGTACTCCCGTGTACGCTCCACTGTCCATTATGCGATGGTAAATTTAGGATGGGGGAAGAGTTGGCAGAGGGTTTGAGACTTGATTTAGAGCTGAAAAGAAAATACATCGGATTAATTTCCAAGATGTAAAAATGATACGTTTAACGTTACTTAGGAGATAACAATTGTGTCTTTTAAATCTTAATTAGATGTTTTGATATATGTAAAATGTCTCAAAATCCTTGATCCGTCAAAGGTATTAACCACCTCTAAAGTACCCGATCTGACGACCGCATCTCTGTTGAATACCCTAATATATATTGTACAAAATTGAATCATCAAATTTAATAGGCAAAGTCCTAATTAGCTTCAAGATTCAGGGTGGGCATATGAAGCTATGAGAAGGACACCGTCCTGAGCCAGGAACACGGTACTACACGGTCCTTTCGCGGACTTAACGAAGCCAGAGCGGCGAACATTTAATCATATTGAGTACTTGGTGTCTTAATATACAGCACCCAGTGCATCCCAGATCCAAAACTTATTTCAGATCAAAGTCAGTTAATGTATTCGTTGTGGTGAATTCCAGACTGGAATTGGTATCCAGCAAACTATGTAGGGATGTCAGGCTCGATAACGCCATGGATGGCTGCCCTCAATTCTAATCACTGGATTATCCGATTCAGGTTCGATTATACAGGGAACATCTTTACATGGCTGGATATATTGCTGAGTGCAGGGTTAAATAACGAACAAAATGACTTTGATGGTAGTGGCCATGATATTTTGTGTAAACTGTCAAGGAGTATCGGCCAGGAGATACTCACTGTCACAGACTTTGTTGATGAGGATGTTCTCCAGGTTCCCGGGACCGCTGGTCGACAGGACGTTATCTGTGCTCGATGCGATACTACCCAAGAAGTTCTGGTTGGTCCTAACGCCAAGGTCGACAAGGTAGATATCAATGCCGTCGAACTGGGCGTCCCTGGCTTGGCGAAGAATGTCGAATCTACCTAGTTCCATTGATTGCTGATCAAGGAACAATATGGCCACCTGGAAACAATTACTTCATGATTAGATAACCATCATGTATTATGTACTGTAACAAATATTCTATATTATTGTGTATTAATTAGAAAATTACCGAGGTTTCTTCAGTTTTCAATTTGAACATGTGGCACTCTCACCAGCTACCATTCCAACAACCTACCCACTCATTCCTATCTACCCCATAAACAAGGCCACCCCGGGAACAGCCTTCTTTTAGCTCACCTGGTTAGCCTGAGGCCTTGCGCCCCTGGCATCCCTAGCCTCCGCCCGCATCTCTTTCAGCAGGTTACTGTAGGAGTCCTGGCGAGGGATGGGGTCACCGAAGTTGTTGCAGAAGAGGGAGGGGTCGGAAAGAGGAACTTCGTTAGCTCGACAGGAGCCGAGGAGCAGGGACAGACGCAGTTGACCACGGGCGTCTCGGAGGGCGTTCACCATGTTGCTGACGATGCTGAAGGCGTTGTCAGCTTCTGATGGCCCGGCGACGAAGATGAGGTCGGCGTTCTCGCGGATATTGCAGGCTGTGGGTATAGAGGAAGTCTTACAGGCCATCGATACAGGCGAGGGATTGGAGAATCATTACACAAGCTATCGATACAGCTGGCGGTTGAGTGAAGAATTGTAAAACACAATACTTTAACAAAACATAGGATAAACTATGTTACACTAATGTTGTCTTTTGCAATCGTAATATGTATTTTTTGTAACTGTGATGTTACTTTAAATCTAACGCCTCAAGTCCAAGAAATCGTAAGTTAATATGCTTTAGGCTGACATCCTCTTGTTTCTATTTGACAGACACCCATTTGACAGACACCCAATTTGCAGACACTGAACTAGAAGGTTAATTAGGGTGACACCTACGGGTAAAATGGAACAGTCCACTGTCTAGTGAGTAGAGCAGGGTGAGCCTGAAACAGGTTCGTTACTGAGAAGTTTGATTGTGGGTAAATAGAACTTTGTTGTGATTAAATGATAAATGATTTCTTTTCTCAAAATTGATTTTACTATCAATTACTATCGAATATAAAAACAGGTTTGTCACTGAGAGGTTTGATTGTGTTTATTGATAGAAAAGCCCCCTCCCAATAATAGCATATGTACAACAGAAGTTAACTGAGAAAACGTTTTGTTGGAGAGATATAGATATGTACATATTTGAAAACATTCTCATTTGCAATAAATGAGACACCTGCATTGCCATGTAAGATACGATTAATACCAATCAGTGTTCTAATTTTAACAATACTGTCTAAAGATTGCAACAGTTTATGTTTTTGAGTAGTAATACAATGGACACAATAATAATAATTGGCTTGTATAGCGCCTAGTTTCCATAACAGAAGCTCAATCTAAATAAATCGTAATTAAGTGAACTTGTCATATATCTTAATATTGTGTGCAAAACATATAACTTCTTTATTCCATATGAATAATATTTAGGTTCACATTTGTCTTTATTTGATTTATATGATACATAAGTGTCTCAATTTCTAATAGCTAAGCTAATGTTTTCAATATGATGATGCCGACTCCCGTTAGACTAGAAGGGTAAACCGAAATGTTTATGAAAATAAACTGTTTTTATGTTGCAGCAGTAAAAGTTCAAATTGCTGTCGTTTTGTCCATCTTTCGAAATAAATAATATAGCTTCAGTTTCTTCCTGTGTTATTTTTGGGACTATTTCATTATAATGTGTAGGTAACAGGTAGTAGATAATCTGTTCACTGGACCGTAAATGTTGTTGTTTTAAGGTGTCTGCGAACTGGCTGTCTGCGTAATGGGAGGACACCTTTCAACCTACTTCCGCTGTTGAGGATAATTGGCGGGAGATTACAGATGCTGTTGGGAATGGTACTGTACAGTCTGTCGAGACCCCTGTAGTTGGTGATGTTGTACATGAAGCTGTTGTCTGGGTCGTTGGCAATGGCCCTCCATTCTCTCTCGTCCGTGTATTGCCCGACGCCGATAACAAACATGTAGAAGCCCTCCCGCCTTGCCGTATCAGCCTCGTTCCGGGTGGCGCCGGGCTGACGTGAGTACCCATCAGTCACCACAATGATGACCCGGGTCACGTCGGCACGGAACTGACTGTTTGTTCGGACAGTTCTGAAGGAATCAACAGTTATAACATAATCAGTGTTCTGTCGTTCATATTGGTGTTTGGAGTTCTTTTTTGTGCCGACTTAAACTGAGTTAGTGAGTTTGGTTTGACGCAGCTTCTAGTTACACTTGAACGGGGTGACGCGAGGTGAGGTGAAATTGGGTTTAACGTTGTGCTTTAGAATATTTCGCTCATATGACGACGTGCATGCGTGTGTATGTGTATATGCGGCTGCTTGTACTAGCCCAGACTGAAGCTGGTTTTATAGTGCTAGCCCACTGAGATACCATGCCGCAGTGAAGCATGAATACCCCACTCAGACACATTATACTGACTCCGAGCCGACCAGTCCTTGCTGTACCCATTAATGCCGAGCGCCAGACAGGGACCAACAAGTACCATATTTTAACGTCTTTTGGTATGACGCAGTCGGGGATTGAACCCGCGACCTTCCGCTCTCCGGGTGGACGCTCTAACCACTACACCACGGAGGCGGTCTCACTTGAACGAAACCATAACAAGTGACACCAAACGTCAAGACTTAGAAAGACTGGTCCTTATACGTAGCTGATGCAGTTAGTTACAGGTTTGTTTATCATATAGCCCTTCTTTCCACATTACTGGAGTATTGCCTATTAAATGTGATCACAAATGTTTCACACATGCAAAATATACTTATTGAAAACAAACCTGATAGCCTCGGCGGTGTTGGTAAGGCCTGTGAGGTAGGGGACGTTCCTGTCGTTGACAGCATTACGCAGCTCCTCTTTGGTCTGGAACTCTCCAAGGTTGAAGGAGATACGATAGTTATCACTGAAGGCCAGGGCGCCCACACGTGTACTCTGTGCAGATATGTCGAGTCGGTTGATCACCTCCCGGACAAACTGGCGTTGTAGTTCGTAGTCCTCGATGTAGATGGAGCTGGACGCGTCCAGGATGAAGAAGATATCGGCCTCTTTTCCACGACAGGATGGCATTGCTGACGGCAGAGAGACGGCATGGTGAGCTTACGTCCATACAATGTACTGCAATTATTCAGGGTAGCATGCACGGTTATTCGAGGTACCTTGGAGGGTTATTCAGGGTACCTTGGAGGGTTATTCAGGGTAGCTTGCAGGGTTTAACAAGGTAGCATACACGGTTATTCGAGGTACCTTGGATGGTTATTCAGGGTACCTTGGAGGGTTATTCAGGGTAGTATGCAGCGTTATTCGGGGTAGCATGCAGGGTTATTCAGGGTAGTATGCAGTGTTATTCGGGGTAGCATGCTGGGTTATTCAAAGTAGCATGCTGGGTTATTCAGGGTAGTATGCAGGGTTATTCGGGGTAGCATGCACGGTTATTCAGGGTAGCATGCACGGTTATTCGGAGGTACCTTGGAGGGTTATTCAGGGTAGGGTATTCGGGGTACCTTGGAGGGTTATTCGAGGTAGCATGCACGGTTATTAAGAGGCATGGTTATTCAGGGTATTCAGGGTAGCTTGGAGGGTTATTCAGGGTAGCTTGCAGTGTTATTCGGGGTAGCATGCTGGGTTATTAAGGATAGCATGCACGGTTATTCAGCGTAGCAAGTAAGGTTATTAAGGATAGCATGCACGGTTATTCAGCGCAAGGTAGCAAGGGTAGCATGCAAGGTTATTCAGGGTAGCATGCAAGGTTATTCAGCGTAGCAAGTAAGGTTATTAAGGATAGCATGCAAGGTTATTCGGGGTAGCATGCATTGATTGTCTGTATTTAAAAGCTCGTTCATGCTGAAGACTTGTATAAAGGTTTTACATAGGTTTCTTCGAAGACGGCAAAGGTACTTACTCTCGTCGAATTCCGGTTGGGTGCCACGTTCTGGAAACGATGTATATTAGACATTAGTGTGCATAAAAAATACACTGAAAATGATTATGAACTTACAGACAATGTCAAACGTAAATGTGTAAGTAAGCATGAACCTGCTTGCTCAGCAAGCTCCAAATCGTTCCATTAAACCAGACTGTGATTTGTCCTTACGTTTAAATTGCTTTACGATACTTTAAAAGTTATGCTCAGATTTCTTCTTTTTAAAAGTCACATGCAACCAAAAAATAAAACATAATTAAAACACAATTATCACTTATTCATGACATATAATATACATTGCTGGTTATGAAAAACATATAAACAAAATTATAAGCGTACAATCGCAAATCAAAAGTGCAAAATTGTGTACTTCGGTTTACTTCCCAACAAACGAAGCAGCCGGGATACCGAACCCAGTCAGAGCGGGTGGGTGTGCACTCAAGTGTAACGGTTGGTTCATTTGCAGATGCCCTCACGGCTAATTGTGTGTGTATATATAGAGATGTTGGGTTTTGTAAATACATGCTCATTTTTTGTGTATAACATTTTACAATCAACAGACATCATAACATGTCATGTGTTCAAGTATCACACCTGCCTGTCTGTGTAATTACATAATGTGACAGAGACCGAACTCGGGCCATAAATCAATGCATTTTGTTTATGGTGTACAGCCTGATTGGTGTTAAGTTCAAATTGCATGTGGTCAGTGATAGCAGCTGTGTATTGAATATTGTCATTAGCAGACAGGCAGGCAGACACACAGGTGTCAATAAAACAAGACATTGAGTTTTGTCTGTGACAACGACATATCCATATCACAGTTAGAAATTCTGTCAACGCTAAATAATGACATTGCTTTTAAGTATCAAACTGAGGAAGTGTCTCGGTAAGAAGAACGTGTGGTGAAATACACAAATGAAATCATATAAACAGTTAATTTACTGTCACGACATATAAAAAGCTCGCGCCTGTGAGATATCAACAAAACATTAGAAACAATAGCTCACACCAAAGCCTTCACCAAGTATTCACCCGAGAACCCGTTTCCAAGCTGCGCGAACCTATTTACTTGCGCACGTGCTATGAGCGCAGCCCAGCTGTTGAAACCCGTTTTCCCCAGAAAAGTCGGGGGAAAATTAGTGAAACGTTTGAACTCCGATTTCGCGCGGTTTTTTTCATCGCGTTATTTTTCAATTTTATAAGTTGAATTTGCATTTTTGACGATTTGTTTCGGTAAGTCCATACCGAAAGGTATCAGAATCTGCAAAGTTGTGTTTTACGTTGCATGTGACCTTTAAGAAAATGCTGTTTGTATTTTATAATACCAGAAATACGAAAATAATATAATTGATTGTATGCTCCTATGCATGTATAATCAACACACACTTGTTGTGTTTACCATAGGTATTGCTGGTATTCTGACTATGTCATGAGTATGTGTTTGTTTGACGCCGCTTTCAGCGGTATAACAGCAAGCAAACAATCCAATCTGGACTAGATAATCCTGTGATTGACATCCGTCATGAACAAATCCACAATCAATGATAGCTATACAGCATCCGTTTTGAACAGGAACCCGACTTGATGAGTCGCAAGCTTTCAACGTAAATGGCAATGGGTGTACAATCTACAGTAAGCTACGGTTATAATATACTGTACAGGTCCACTATATATAGTTTGTCATAACGCATTTTTACTAAAACATACAGCAGGTACCTGGGACCGAAAACAGTTCGTTATATTTACCACTGAGCCACGTACAGGCCCATCTCAATCTCAGATGACGACGTGTCAATAGGGCCTGTAAGTCTCGCGAGGCGCTACTTCCGGTACGAAGATTTCAAGCATTTATTCAAGAACCAGTTCTGGTTCCAAATTTGACCTCACCAGACCGGACCAACTGTTCAACCATGCTAAACATACAAAATTCAGTGAGATATAAGGTTTAAATGAGTATGAACCGTTATGTTTAGTGAGATATAAGCTTTAAATGAGTATGAACCGTTATGTTCAGTGAGATATAAGGTTTAAATGGGTATGAACCGTTATGAACAGTGAGATATAAGGTTTAAAAGAGTATGAACCGTTATGCACAGTGAGATATAAGGTTTAAATGAGTATGAACATATATGTCTTGTTAGGTGTTAGGTTTAAATACATATGAACCTCAATGTATAGTTACATATATTGCTTAAATAAGTATGACCCTACAGTGATCATGTGCCAGCTGGATATAGTTGAATGCTAAAACTAAAACAGATCGTGGACGTATCTTGCGAATCTGGGTTTCAAATGCTTACTCTGCATTCGGCAACCTATACCACTGAGACACTTGGTCCTCTAACTAGATTCAGTGCAAACTAAGAATGTTTCTCGACAGGATAATGCAAATGGATAAAAATGGGGTCCATGTGTGCAAATTCAAAAGATGACGGAGTTACTACTTTCAGTTTTTACCAACAAAGGTCGCCCTCGAGTCAGAACGGATACATCGTACCATGTGGTTCTTGTAGTTATCAGCGTGATTTTCTTACATTACGAAAATAATGGTCGTGGGGTTCAGTGAGAAACATGCTTCCTGTTGTCACTGTGCCACAGTTACCACTTCATAATTACTGCGGTGTACAAACTTCGTAAACTGCACAACCTTACGGCGAGCTTCCTCAGGCCACCCATCACACATACTGGATACAAAAGTAGCTCACGACACATTCAATGTTGAGTGTATACTACTCAGAACTGTTAAAGAACACCAGACTAGGCGGTCACCAGACACACAACAGGGTGTCCCTGTATTGTGACGAGTGTGTATGCTACGTAAACTACATCCTATCAATGAACGTGTTCTTGGCGAGTAATGTCACTGCAGTATTTCCTTTCGTCACCAGACAAGCAGCTACTATATCTGCACTTGGTCACAGGGCACAGTGTGTGTGTTTGTGTTGACAGGAGGAAATACCAGATAGCTGCCGTAACCAGGGTTATGTGTTGACGATAAAGTCGGTGTAATTCCAGTACATCTGTGGCCACGTTGATATCTACGTACACTACAATACTATATTACAAGAGTTTTTGTTGTCTAAAACCTGTCTAATTGGTTTACATGGGCTCTAGGATGATTAAGGCCAAACTAATGGTTATAAATTACATATAGATTATTTAAAGATTCTTTACCTGTGGAATCGTATGTCAATATGTTCTCTTTCTTCTATATGACTTTCTAAGACATTAGATTGTTCCCCATATCTACGCTTGGAACATTCTGATTCGACCACTGTATGTTTATGTACTAGTATTTGAAAGATCGCAATGTCACAAAAAAATCTTACATTGACAAATAAAACGGTTGTTCACAAAAAGTATAATATTGTAAATACTGCTGTACTTACGTGCAAATACTCCTACCGCAAGAACCTGGAACAACAAATACAAGCATGCTGAACATACAACCACAAACAAACAGAAAAGCAGAACCGTCGCACAGATGACCCTGGTTAAATCTTTAAATAGGTATAATCATTACTGATCATCACTAGAGGAAAATCCATGCAAATACCACGCACATCCATACCACACAATCCAGTGATAATTCCTTGTGGATACCAACTGTGGTATTTTGTACCCCCATTTATGTTATATTATTTCCAAATAGTAATATTGTGTATTCTGCACCTTTTCGAGGCAGTAACTGTTATTGGATCTTAAGGGGGTTGATTGTATCCTGAAGGTAGTGTCTTGATCCTGAAAGTTGGGAGTGGAGATTGTTTTGGTCGTTTATTGTTTAACGACGCACTCAGAAATATTCCAGCTAGTTGGTGTGTAAATGATCGAATCTGGACCAGCAGCCCAGTGATCAACTTCATGAGCTTCGATGACATGTGTCAGCCAAAGGAGGCGGTTTAATGGCTGGCTGGTGGGTGAGTGATTTGAGGAGAGGCGGGGTAGCATAGTGGTGAATTAGTCCCAGGGCGCCGTTGTGCAAAACAACCTTAGCGCTACGACAGTCGTAAGTCTATGTTAAGGAATGGGAGTTCCGATCACCTTAGCCCTAAGATCGCTGCGTATCAGACTGGATTATTTACAGATGGCTTTCATGTATCACAATATCACGGCGGGGGATACCAGAAATGGATTTCACACTGGCTGATCACAATGCTTTCGATAAGGTTGCGTATATCGAGAGAAATATTCGAGGAAAATATCTCCTAAATGATTTCCTGAATATACCTAGCATTCTGAATATACCTAGCATTCTGAATATACCTAGCATTTAGTAATTCACCAGACACAGAGACATTAAATCTATCAAGAAACGGGCCTCATTAAAATGATGAAATCAAATTTGGACAGACCATAGCTAAATGCGATTGCTATGCTTCTATATAATAATGAGATATGTAGGAGAATATTTTGTTAAACTGTGAACTTCTTTCAGAGTGATACATATTTTACACATCTAACATATGTATGAGAAGAATGAAAACACAAAGTTTTAACTGTTTCCATAATTTTCTTGTAAAAGTAACAAAAGACAAAAAGAACGATCTTACCGCCAATACCAGTAAGCCACTTGACATCGCCATGTTTGATGTATCGTCTGCTCGCCTGTCTGTCCTCGGGTGCGGCAAACGACGTCGACAGACTCTTATATACAGCCCTCCAGGGGGCGTGGCGATCAGTATACGACTCTCCTTAAATGGATAGGATATGGACTATTTGCCTTATTGAACAATACCATAATATTGTTTTTTATATGCACTGCAGTTTGCAGAGCATGGACAATATGGACATATATATTTCAATGCATGTTTATTGTGCTCAATGCTTGAGCATAAACTTCGCCTTTCCATATATGCATAATAACATCCTTCCGTGGCTACATAAGAACAAACAAAAAGGAAGTGCAAACCGTTTTACATGAAAACTGTAATGATTTAATCTGTAATCCTATTCACCAGCCTTGCAAATCTGAGAAATGAAAATTTAAACACAACTGCGAATCAATCAGCACTGGTTCTTGCATGGATGTGTGAAGTCATCCTTGAAAATCAAAAGTACTTGCTACAACCATCTGTTGTCCACATATTCAGTTGTCACAGCCGTTGTTCAATGAAATAGTAAGTCACATGTGAAATAATGTCATCATACACAATTTGTCCTGCAGTTATCGGTTAAATTATGCATTCCTTGTAAACGTATAAAGTATGTGTGAATATCAACATATGATAAACAGTGCATGAAGAACTGACTTGAAATACCATAACAATAACAATACAACAAACATATTTCGAAGTTCTCCTTTACCTGGGTGGTAGTCCCGTAATTTTAACATAATCAATCTGATATTGCTACTAATTTTTCCAAAGTCGGTCAAATATTTTCAATTTGGTATTTGCGCTCTTCCTTCGTTACTCTCTTCCACTGTGCATACAGCACAACGCTGATGGAGAATCCTGCAGGGGGGAAACAGATCTTAAACGCATGCATACAAAAATTTAAGTTCATTGTGCTGGTCTTGCAGATGATGTTAAATCCAGGTCACTTCCGGCCACATGAGATGACTGAAGTGACTTCTTATCTACTTCCGTCGATGGTCAGTTCACGAACCACAAACCTCTTCATGTGCCCCAGCCATGTCCGGTTCGCGACACGAACAGCAGCTAATTTCTTGGCCTTGAAGCAAGAAATTAACACAATCAGCAGAAACATTAGCTGACTGGCATTGTATTTAATAGCTGTTTATGTTAACATGCGCTCTATTAATTGTAACCTTTTTTTTCATTTTACAGGATTGCATGGATACTGTGAAATGTTGATATATTGTAAACACTCACATGGTAGGCGTTTTCATAACTACCATTTCCTGCACAAGAATATGGAATAACGCAGATGTAGCCTCGTTGTACTGTATGGTATTCTCTACAAGAGATATGAACATGATATTCACACATTTGTATACAGATAGAATCCCACAGTTTGAACTATGCACTCGCTATTCCAGGAATGACTATTTGTCCATGATTTTACTCGCTACTTTGTGAAAAAGCTATATCCACACACGTCTCAACACCGCAAAAGGTTTAGAATTAACAAATACAGGGATATGTTTGACAGGAAAATACTTCTTTCATTTTAATGTCTTTGACAAAACATTGATGTCTGGACAGTTTTCGAAACATACTGCCGAGAACTACGATTCATAGAACACCATATCGTGAAATAAAGCAAAATACTGCAGAAACAATGATACTAGCATGACTATATCTAGAGCCTAGTTCAACTCCATTAACAAGCGTTATATAAGGAGAGGGGTTGTTGACCGAGCTGGAAGCAAGAAGGGATGTCTCGGAAGATGATTCTCGACAACGGCAGAAGAGTGGTACAAACAAGCGGTGCAAATAGGTGATACAAACTAGCTTACAGTGGACCAGATGATTGTGCTGAGGTCTCGTCAGTGCATGTCCAGCTGACGCCAACCACAGGTCATTTCAAATTACCCGTGCATTTATACTGCACTTATTTCTGCAGAAACGAAATATGTTAATATAAACATCTCGCCGAACATTTGGGTTGCTGGAAGCACTGATGTAGAACATAGAGTGGAAACTTACATGGATGCAGGTCTAGGGGACCTTACAGCGTGTGATTGACACAAGACGTTCCCTGGCGTGGAGTTGAATATTTGACACGGACTTGTGAACATTACGTCATTTTAGCAATACAAACAAGGAATTGTACAGGAGATCAGTAGCATCTTCATAAAATTCCGGGAAAATATGTTAAGGTTAAATGGGCTTAAACATGTCAATGATTTCCAATAATAATTGTATATACCTTTAAGTGAGTGTTAAGTTTGGAGTATCTGGCCTTTGTTCAACAAATGGGAGTTTCATGAACGTCCTACCTTCTTGAAGCAAACGTTTACCTGGTAATTCATGACACATATACTTTGCCGTGGAAAGAAATTTCCTTCATTACATAAAGTATCAACTGATTTATCTGACAGTTATATATTCCTATATAATCTCAATAATTGTGTGTGTATGTGTGTATATATTGTGCGTGTCCCGTGTGTCTTTTGCGTGTGTACCTGTGTGCGTGCGTGTGCGTGTGTGTGTGTGAGAGAGAGAGTGAGTAGTGTGTTGGGCTCTACTTGTTATTTACTTGTGTTTTTATAGAGGATTGATTTGATTTATACATATATTTATTTACAAAAAGAAAATTGGATTAACAATTTCTTCCAAGTTTGACCTCTCTCTGGTATTTACAGATGTCACCATTACAGGAAACATACATGTAACCCTGAAGAGACAACTAAGTTGAGAGAATGATACAATAAGGGGAAAGAGTGAATTGGTGAATGAACAGTTCCTTACACAAATCTTTAGAATGTATTTGGCCATGATACTCCATTCCGTGTAGCAGTAGCTTTACTCCAACAAGAATGTTATGAGGCTGTATGGATCGTAAACATAAGCACCTAATGCTTAAACAATGTACATTCCATGATATATCGATGTACATTTATTTGAACACCTGGTCAGTTGGTCTTTTATACTGCCTCTGTAGAAAACGTATTAAACTGACTGCACACCACTATCTCAGTTAGCTATGTAAAGGAAAATGGTGGAAAGATTGTGTGATAGACTTTGCGGGGCTCACCCTGGTGTTAGCAATGTGTCCTCAACAATGTTCATTACGAACTGATTACAGAACTTCCTTCACCGTATCTAAGCTGTGCACCGAAATCGTTAAGTACAGTTACATATATTTAGGTATTTGCTGAAGTCATGTGCATCAGGTCTCTTCTCAACCCAGACCCCGGGTTGGCAGATGGTGGTGTTCTGCGATAAATTGAATTTCGCCTTCCGCAACAGTTTTCAGCCAACTGGTCAAACTTCTCCAAAGCTCTTTCACATGGGTACATTCACACAATAAATGCATGACAGTTTTGGGTTCTCTACCAGAAAAATACATTGAAAGGAATCTTTACGTCCAATTTAGTATAAATATACCCTTGTTGGTATTATTCCATAAATTATCCTGTAGTGCAACCATATTAAATTGCTACTAATTGTACATCTATGTGCCATCAAATAAATATGTTCAAACCTTTTGGAATTATATTGTGTCTCAAATATTTATTCCCACCATTTATGAGCATATGATTTATTATAACCTGCATCTGATATCTCACAAAATTAATTTTAATGTCAAATATCCTTTGTAGTTCTTCATATGAAGAAACGCCCATACTAGCAGGGGCAAACAGATCATGCACATAGAATATTTGTCCATAATACCATTTGAATAAAACAAACCTGTCTGGTCTCCAACTCTGAATAAGAACAAGCAAAGATTTAATGTTACACGTGTCCTCAAATTAGATGCTTCATTTGATTACCATGTATTTGTAAATAGCCAAGCTGATCATGAAATTCTGAATAAAGGGCATAAAGAAACTGATCCGCAGAAGAGGTGCAAAATTGGTACCCAAGCAGGAGTCTTGGGTTTTTTCTCTTCCCGCACATATTTCATAAATGTTATCACTTAAAAAGTCAAGCATTTCACATTTTGTTTTCTCAGTAAACTTCAAATGACATTCGCTTTCACTTTTGTCAAATTGGCATGAATCTGTAAAGACAGCTGCCTGTGCTTGCCACGTATAGCATCAAATTCCCCATGGAATAAGGAAGCTATTTTTTATTTATGAGAGACCCATTATAATTTCATAGTATTATATGACTTGGTCATTTCCTGCTCACCGATGCCTCCATTAATGAAACAATAATGTATTTCCATAACCGACCAGTTAGCTACTACCTTTGAAGGTCACATGAACACTTGTACCCTGCAGTTCTGCATTCCATGAACTGAACAGAAGTAGAACACAGTGAACATGAACAGGAGTCCAACAGGGAGTGGTCTGAGCCTTGAAAGGGTGTTAGGGCCCAGTCGATGGGCGACCATCCGACGTCCTGTTTTCTTTATTATCACAGTTTCAATTTTCGTGTTTAACATGTGGCCACAGATAAGTGTTGCATTATATATTTGACATATGTCATATTGTATATTGCGACCGTTCTCAGGAGATAGTTTACAGAACATTCGAAAGGACAACCAAAGTGATTACAATATGAGAGTAAAGCCTTCGGATTTGCGGCGTCTTAGAAGACTACTCGGACCCAACGCGTACCATGCTTGTCGTACGAGACAACTAGCGGGATCGGGTGGTCAGGCAAGCTGATGATTATCTCAACCCAATGTTGTTGATCGATGCACATGCTGTGGATTAGTGGATTGTTTAGTGATGTATAGACCGCCGTCTTGACTATTGATGAGTGCATCAAAAAAACAAAAAACAAACAACAACACCTTCTTCTGTTGACATCTGTCCCCGTGGTCACTGACCTGAGGTAGACGCGCGGAGAAGACCGGAAGACCTTATTGAGCAGAGGAAGGAACTTCTTGGGAGTGGTGCTATTGTCCGCCATTATCTTCATGTACACACACTGACAAGGCTCCTGACTCATTGTATTCTAAACGTTGGATATAGCAAGATATGCCTCTCAAAGAAGTTTGATATAGCAAGATATGCCTCTCAAAGAAGTTTGATATAGCAAGATATGCCTCTCAAAGAAGTTTGATATAGCAAGATATGCCTCTCAAAG